ATCACTATCTCATGTGAATGCCCCTCTCCCTACAGTAGAACCATCAACAGTTCCTGCCAGGATTGAAGCGCGACAGTTTTATGAGCTGAAGCACGAATCTCCAGATGTGGGCATGGGAGGAGAAGTTCAGTGCACTCATGCTGTCGTAAAATAGTTAGTAGTAGAATGACCTTAACGACCAGTATTCTGGCGACAAGCACCTCGGAGTAAGGCCGCCCCCGCAGGTCAACCCTTCATGGTTTCTGTGAGAGTTGATGGCCAACAGACTGAGCAACTCTATTGATTGCAATTCAGCCTAGACGAACTTCATCAGCTCTGTTTGCAAGGTCTCCTCTATAGGTTGAGATCTTCGTGGTTCACATGGTAGTTGGTAGCCAATGGATTGTATGGTTGCCCTTGCAGGTCAAGCCCTCTAAGGCTCTCGGGCGAGTCAGTGACTTATCCACAACCCTATAATGAATTATTTAATCTGAGAGTTTCCAATCGGTTATAGAGAAAATGAACGAAGGAATTGTTATTATTTAAATCCCTCCTCTATTTTCACCCTTACAAAAACCTCCCTTTGCCTTTCAAATAATTGTGCAAACACAACCTTCTGTGTCATAGTCAACGATTTTGTTGTTCCGTTTCACAAGTTTGCCACATCAGAAAAAAAAAACGGAAACGCAAATTAATTGCATTTGGAAATCCATTTTTGAAAAAAAAGTGTTGTCCATTGTTGCAATGATTAATTCCAAGATTTGGGAAAGGAGGCGTGTCTTGAATTGTTAAAATTGACAGTTTTTTAACCTCTTTGATGATGTTGAATCACTAAAGAGGTATCATGCTGAAATTTAAAAATTCTGATATCTTTTTTGAGATGTCATACAGTTTTCACTTTAAGCATAAATAATCCAAAGACTTTAAATGCCCAATCTGCCTACATCTCTATCAAATAGAAAACACAGGTGAATTAAACGCTTATAAGTCAGAAACACAGGTGAATTAAATGCTACGGTGCCCACTTAATCACCGAGTTCTTCAGGGATTGGACCAAAAAATTATTATCCGTCAATGTCAATATCTCTAATCTTGGTGCACAAATGCTAATGAATCACTTTTTGTGGGGTATTTTAGTAGATCTTCATCCAAATAAAGTGTCACAGGTGTGTATATATATATATATATATATATATACTATTTATAAAAAAGTAAATGCTTCATTCTTTCTAAAATTTTTATTAGACGTTTTCTATCCCTCTTATCTAAACACACAGCGGGCATAAAGACAGGATATATGTTCTTTACTCTCATTTCAGAAACTACCAATGAATTATAAATAGTTTTATCTTAAATATATTTCCACATGTAAATGCATATAGATATAATATGGGGATCCAGGATCCAAGATCCAATAGAGGTGGTTTTCAGTCCATAGTTCAGTTAAAAGGGTGGTATAGTTTCAGAACCCAAAGACCATACCATTTTTTTCTTTGAAAATGACATTGTTTTATTTTTCATCTTTTGAACCATATAATGCAAAAGAGGCAGTTCTATTATAATTAACTTTTTAACCATTCTATGTGATTCATGTGTACATATAATTTCACTATTTGTTATTCAATGTCATCAAATAAAAACGTTATGATATTCGTGTATAAGACACACCTTACACCATTTAATTGCTATGTCATGGCTGAGAAAGCTATAAAAAAAAAAAAAACTCTGTTCAAATTTCAAAGGAACACCATTTTTCTAGTTCCGGAACCATGGATAGTATGGGTGCTCAATATATAAATGTATGATATTCTATAGGCTCATTTGGTCAATCATCCAATTCTTACCTAGAAAATTAACATATATATATATATATATATATATATATATATATATATATATGACATACTGGTTTCTACATGAATAATGAAATTATTTTTTAACATCACAGCTGTTTTTGTTTTCAAAAACAAAATCATGCTTTTTTCATGCATAAAAGCATGTCTCATATTTTTAATTGGGGTTAATTGCTAAACCTCCCCAAAAGTTTGATTGTTGCTGAAATTTTATCTGAACTTTAATAATTGCAATTACCTCCCCGAAGTTTTTTGACATAGTTGTAAATAGGCCCCCTTTGATAGAATCTTCTAAAAAGAGTCATGAAAATATCTAAAATACTAGAGGTGTCCACGATTCGATTAATCAAACCATAGTACTTTTTTGTAAACCCAACTGGTGGTACCGGTTTTTCCCATTCTCCAAATAGAAACCGAATTGGTACCCCCAGTTAACTGGTCCACTGGTTTCGATTTTTGATCGGTTCGATTCTTCAATTTTTTGGTTTTTTATATTTATAATATATATTATACAAATATATGTATAATATTATACTATAAATAATAAATGATATATAATATATTATAAATAATTGAAAAATATATAATATATAATATATTTATAAATATATCATTATAAATATAATGAGTATATATATATAATGAATATATATTTACATATAATATATAGAGAATATGTGACATATATTAAAAATATATATAAAATATACATAAAAATATATATACTGGTCGGTTCAGTTAACTGTCAGTTTTTTTTGTAGGTTAATTGAAAACCGAGCTGGTCCTTCGATTTTTCAAATATCCTATACTGATTGGTGCGGTTAATCGCATTTTGCGGTTCGGTTTTTTCGGTTTGGTTCAATTTTTCGGATTTTCGGTTTTTCATGGACAACCCTACAAAATACTCATGCAGTTACTTTTGACGAAAATGTTTATTTTTCAAATTTTCTCTTCATATGAATCACTACACCAAATACTTCCAATATCTTTTATGAAATTGATTTATTTTCCAAATTTGACCTTCATATCAATCACTCAAAGGTAAAGCTGCAACTTTAAATTCTTTTCTTTTCATAAAGTTTGTATTGTTTTCATCCGTAGAAACCATACTCAATAGTAACTGCATGTGTATTTTAGACATTTTTGTAACTCTTATTAGAGGTTTTTACCATAGAGGATCTACTTGCAACTGTATCAAAAAGTTCAGGGGAAGTGATTGCCATTACCAAACTTTAGGGGAGGTTTTAGCAATGGTCAAAAACTTAAGGGGAGGTTTCATCAATTTACCCTTTTAATTATTGGGATAAAAAATTTGAAAATTTTTAATTTCCTCTGAGTTCCCTCATACAAAAGAGCTTCTCTTTCAAAATGAATTTTGTCTAAAATAAAGCAGCAGATCCCACTCTAGCTCTAAAATCTTTCTGTTTTCCACTCCAAGTAGGTTAATTAACCTGTATTTTCTAATAAAAATATATGAAGTGTGTAGCATTCCCTTTTCGTCTCACGGTTGTGCTCTGATCTTTACAAGGCTTAAAACGCATGAAACTCCCTAAAAAATGAGGCTATGTGAGACATTGAAGATGCAGAGACACTGATCCATGAGATCAATCAAGAGGAAGGTAAGCACAGTTTTGTTCAAGGTTTATTTCCATTCATTTTTCGATTGTTTATTTATTTTTTTTGGGGATTTTGTGAGGTGTGACTAGCTTCAAACTAGCAGGAACCCAATGGATAACCTTTGACCCAATCTACTTTGACCTTTTTCCCCTGCCCCTATGAATAATTCAACCCATTAGAAATGTCTTAGAGGATTGGGCCACTAAGATTGTGTTTGGCATCATTGCCATTTTAGGCTAAAAAGTTTTGACTATTGAATAGTGTGTTTGGTTAACACTTGATGTTTATAGTCTCAACAGATATGCTGACTAGGCGTTTATATTAGATAGTGTCTGGTATATCCTATTTCATGTTGAAGTGTTTAAAGTACTAACCAACACCAATCACACTTCCAATTAATATTATGCCAATTTAATGGACAAGAATTTTCAAAATCCAGGATTTCATTAGATTTTATTTTTCTCCAATGTAAAGGGGTGTTATGTTTGTAAATGTGTTATCAAGAGCTTCAAGCTGCTTCAAGAAGAAGACAACGATAGAGCTTATATAGTGAAGAAGACCGAGGTTATATAGTTTTGCTCAAAGTGTTGTATGATATGTGATGCACCATACCAATTCATCACCATGCCACATTGGATGACATAGATGGTAGTGTCATATTAGTAAAACATTGGGAAGATGAAACTTGTTTCACATCTGGGTTTTTTTTCTCTTCTAGAATTTTCTGTCAGATTTCATTTTATTTTATTATTTTTTATAGAACAAAACACATTTTCTTAAATTTTCATTGGATTTCTTAAATTGTCAATTCATGTATATCTAGCAATCAAGAAAGATGAAAATCACAATGGTTCTATTGGTTGAAAGCTTTGTGGAAGTGGTTCAAGAAAAAGAAAGAATATTTGTTAGACTTAATTAGGAATGTAAACGGATTGAATTCAAATCGAATCAGGCAAAATGTAAATTTGAATCTGATTAGAAAATTTGATATTTGACGGATATTGAATATTAATATTCAAATTCAAATTTGACCAGTTAATTAGTTTAGGTAATTAATAAATATATAAAATAAATATTTTATTTATATAAAGTATATAATATTATATAAAACATTTAAATGTTTTATATATTATATATAAGAATTAAATAATTTGTCAAATTCAGAAATTTATCAAATTGAATCAAGTCAAATCCAAATTCAAATACAATTAGCTATTCGTTATGAACTAGATATTTGAATTCGAGCAATTAGATATTTTAATTATTCAAATTCAATTCGATTATATCGAATCTCGAATTCAAAATCGGATTTTTGTATACCATTGACACCCTAGACTTAACATTTGAAAGATTAAACTATCCCTACTATTTTACTAATTGACAAACTATACCCTAACTATTTAACTATGGTTTTAAACCACCCTTACTATTTCTGACAATTGAGTAGTTCCACCTCTTCTATTATCATCTGTTAATGTATGGTCAAAATCTATGCATATGTGACACCATGTGACATGTAAAATTCTTTTAAAACCCAATGTAACCCTTTGTTCAACCTCCATAAGCTGGGTAAGAAGGTGTCTGAACAATCCCCATGGTGTTTTGAACAACTGGGTGCAAATCCTTGTGGGGCATCTTCTCAATCGTGAAAACTCTCTTACACAATTCCCAAAACAACCGGTGAGCCTCCAGTGACCTCAATTGGTAACCCAACAACACGACACCAGAATTCCACACAAGAGCTTCCATGGCAGAAACAAGTGGACCAACAGACTCCTCTATGTAAACGACATCATTGGCGATGACGAAATCGAAAGAAAGGTTTAGGGTTTTGATCTTCAAGTTTTTTCCAAGTGTGGGTTTATTGTATTTGTGGTTACACTTGAGTGCAAGCATGACTGGGGCTATATCAGTAAGAATGATGTCCAGGCAAAGCAAGAAGAGTCCCTCCCATTCCAACAGGGCCACATCTAGAGCCCAATTCAATGGTTCGCTTGCCAAAGAAGTTGAGAAGGTGAGCATAAGGGTTCAGAGTGGAGGGAGATGAGGTGTGGGTCACAAGCCAACCCTCGATGAATTTGATGAGGACAAGAGAGCAGGGCCAAATAGAGGTGCCGACATGCATAGAGTCATTGTCTTGTTCGAAAGAGAGGAGTGCATCACACACTGGGAGCTTGATCACAGATTCACAGGTGAATCCATGAATTTCATCTTCCACTAAAAATTTCTCGACTCCCTGCATTTTGAGAAACTGAGAAATGAGAAGTTTTTTAAGGACACACGGCACAGGACAGTGCACAGCCCCCGAGCAATCGACCTTCGGTGGATGCATAAACAAACGATTGTAGACCAAATATGGGTGGAAGTCATTTGGAAGAAATTGTTTCAAGTGCCAATCATTTCTTCTTCACTCGAGTACTTTGCTTTCTCAAAACATCTGCAAACCATTGTGAATGGATTCAATAATGAATCCCTTTTTAAGTTAGGTTTATAAAATGACAGCTTTTCTTCTAATGGTGATATAGAGAAAAAATTCGTGAACAATTTATTCCCCCTAAAATTGTTCATAAATGGCATCCGTTCCATGGAAGGGTTTGGTCTGTAACAATTTCTTTGTACTTTTACTCTTAGTTTTTATCGTCTTTCGAACTAGGCGGTCAAAGTATCTATTTTTACTTTTTTTTTTTATTTCTTAATTTTGTTTTGCTTTCAATACTCGTTTGTCAAGATTTCATATGCTTCACAAATCCCTTCAGACTTTTCTATAGCAACGCCTTCATCCATAAAAATGAAAGACAAAACGGAAACGGTGACAGAAATGGAGATGGAGACGGAACAGCTATGTTTTCTATTTTCTCAAAATTTGGATTTTATTTTCCTAATTTGAAGAATAACAGAATGCAAATTTTACATTTCATTTTTTCCATTAACAATTAACGACAAGGTCAGTTTTCAAAATGTGTAGGGGTGGTGCAACACAAGGATAAATAGAGAGAAAAAAAGGAGAGGAAGAGAATAGAAAGAGAGAGAAGAAGTCAAGAGATGGTTGGCTGCTCTTTTTGATAGAGAGAAAAAATCACTAAACCCAGCCAACTAGAATAATATATATAGATTTCAACACACAAAGTACAATGACCTTTGTGCCCTTCTTTAAGTATGGGACACTATGCAATCTCAAACATAATAAACAAAACTCACTAGAATAAACTATTTTAAAATGACTCAAATACCCTTGGGCTATTGGTTCTAACACTTTTCCTCAAGTTGGAGAGTATCATACAATCCCAATTTCTTACATATATGATCCACCTTTCCCTGACTCAATCCTTTTGTAAGTAAATCAGCCTATTAACTCTCTGCATTCAAATATATTGTATTTATCACCCTATTGAACACTTTTTCTCTTACAAAATGACAGTCAATTTCAATATGTTTTGTTCTATCGTGGAAGATTGAATTAGATGTAATGTAAACAACAACTTGATTGTCACAATACAACTTTATAGGATTGTTGAATGTATACCCAATCTCATGGAAAAGGTCCTTTAACCACACTAACTCACAGGTTGTGTATGCCATAGCTCTATATATTCAGCTTCAACACTGTTTCTTGTTACCACTATTTGTTTCTTATTCTTTCATGTTACTAGGTTTCCTCCAAGAAAGGTATAGTATCATATAGTAGACCTTTTATCAAACAATGAATTGGCCCAATCTACATCTGTATAACCCTTTACTTCAAGAATTTCTCCTAATTTGTATAATAATCCTTGACCTGGGGCCCCTTTCAAATACCGTACAATCCTCAAAACTGCATTCAAATGGAGAATGTGAAGCTTCTGCATAAACTAATTGATTACACTTACTGCAAAGGAAATGTTTGGCCGGGTAATAGTTAAATAATTCAACTTACCCATTAATCTCCTATACTTTCTAGGATCATCAAATTCTTCACCCGCAATGATGCTTAATTTGGTGTTGGTTCATAGGTGTTTCGGTTAGTTTAGTACCCAACAATCCTGTCTCTTCTAACAACTTAAGCATATATTTCCTCTGACACAAATTTATGCCACGCTTCGACTTTATAACATCTATGCACAATAAGTATTTCAATTTGCCAAAATCTTTTGTCTGAAAGTGATCATGCAGAAAAGCTTTCAATTTATCAATACCCAATTTATTATTGCCTGTAATGACAATATCATCTACATATACCGCCAACATGACCTTTCTAGCTTCAAAATCATAGCTAAACACAAAATGATCAACTTAACATTGTTTCATACCAAAGTAATTAACTACCTCATTAGTTCTACCAAACTAGGTACACAGAGATTGTTTCAATTCATAAATTGATTTCTTAAAAATATACCTTACTATCCTCCCCTTAAGCAACAAACCCTAGTAGTTGCTTCATATATACTTATTCACTGAGATCACCATGTACAAAGGCATTTTTAATGGCAACTTGATATAGGGGCCAATCAAACATGACTACTAAGGATATCAATACACGAAATGAGCCAATTTTGGCAACTGGAGAGAATATCTCTCTATATAATCCACACTATACAACTAAGAATACCCTTTGACCACCAACATAGCCTTTAGGCGCTCTATGCTACAATCTGGTAGGGTATTTGACTATATAAACCCTCTTACAACCTATAATATGTTTATCAGGAGGAAGAAAGGTAAACTCCTACATGTGACTATGATTAAGTGTTGAGAGTTCTTCTTCCATTGCTTTTCGCCACTCTAAGGAGGTAATGGCTTCCTGAACATTATTAGGAATATAAATAATTGATAAAAGAAAAATTAACTAATTAAAAGGCAAGAGACAGAAACATAATTAGAGATAAGATGCAAGGTACAACTGTATTTACCTTTACGCAATGCAATGGGAAGATCAAGATCAGATGAAAAAGACATTATATGGTTAGGAACAACTGTTAGATCTGTTTGATGTTGAAGAAACTAGAGGAAGTATTTATCAATGCATATACGCGTACTTGATAGGTGGTCGCTCGGTAAAAACTTGCAAAGAAAAGGACGAAGATGCGAGAGTAACGGAAACAAGAGGAATGGGATCATCAATACACCACAAGAAAAATGGTTTTTAACCACGTTTTTTCTGGCAACGGGCAAAAAACCGTGGTTAAACACTATATAGCAACGGAATTCTTTGCCCGTGGTTGTAAATTGATTTACTTGCAACAGGTTTGTCACGGTCCTGTAATCCGTTGTTTAAATTAACCTACTGCAACGGTACCTAAACCAGACCGAAGCTAATATTTGATAAACTGCTTAGGACGGTGGCTACTTGGGGGTTAACGCGCGCTCCCCAAAATTTTGGCCTGCGTTCCCTCCATTCTCTCTCTCCCTCTTAACCCAATGACCTATTTCTAAACCTCCATTCTCTCTCTCTCTCTCTTTTGTTGCTATTCCTTCCCCGCTATTGTTTTCTCTCTTCCTTTCCCCCTCTCTCCTCCTCTGTCATTCTCCGTTGTCACCTTTATTTTTCCCCTCTCTCTCTCTCCTATGGGTTTGCAAATAAAAGGTGTGCATACCTCTATTTCAATAGAGTCTCATTTCAATAAACAGGCATTGGGGTTTGCAAAGTAACGATGTGTAAAGAAAGTATAAATCTGAAAAGCATAAGTTACTACCTTCTTAGATCAAACTCTTGTGCTGTTTCCTTATACTTTACCTAAATCTATAAGTGTATTTGTGTTATTTGATTACTGTGCATTTTAGGAAGTAACTCAATTCTTTGTGGGATTATATGTGTTAGCCGCTCAGAAAATGCCTTTACTTCTTAGGTGATTAAAAACTGAAAAATTTACCATGATGGATAAACTATAAACTAATAGCATGTTTCCTAAATGATGGTATAAGGTTCACCAAAAGAGTTATTAGAAGGTATTCTATGAAGATTCACCATTGTGGTTTGTTTTCCATATTCTATTGTCATCTTCCGAAGGCACAATTGAGCCCTATAAAGGTGCACGAAGATGTGTTGTGGAAGGTCAGTCCAGATGAAACCAGAATAAATAATGGAAAATCAAAAGATTTGAAAATAAAACAGTTTTTCATTTTTTGAGCCAATGCATGTCCTTACAATGTTCGTGGCTGAGAAATGTAGGAATTACTTGAACAATTATGCTCTGGTGTTTTAGGAATTTTTCATTTACCCCTATAATTTCATTAATATATATTTTGTTCATTTACTTCAATAACGGTATGAATGTATTGATCTAAACAGATGAAGATTGTATGTTTGCATATTTTGGATATGATCCAGGGGGTGTCATTCATTCCGTGATTTTTTGGATAATTTATAAGATCAGAAGAGCTTGTTAGTAACTAAATAAAGCTTTAAAAATATACAATCATGTCTAGAACCAGATAATGGCTAGAAAAAAAAAAGTTCTGAAATAGAAAAACCCAAACCAATTGGGCCTAAAATTAGCCAATAAGACCTCTCTTAAATACTGTTAAAAATTCTTTTCTCTAGAGACCTGGATTTTCTAATGTATTTATCAAAGTTTAGTTTCACAACTTGAGGGGGAGGCGTCCAAACTTGGTTGAGCTCCTACTTGACTGAAGGTGAACATGCTAAGTGGGTCCATCTCTAGATAATGTCATCTATATAAAAGTCTAGTGCTCGGATTTTAAGTATCTCTAATGGTGATGGTATCCATCGGCCCTTTGGTCAACTATTCCTTCTATCACAATATTATAACATTTGTTTCCATCATTTTTTATTTTTTCATTATACTAATATTACAGTTAAGTAACATACATATATAAAGACAAAGGAGTGTCTTTATCATGTATAGAGAATAGCAATTAGTTTGGTAGTTAAGCACACTTATTAATTTTTCTTTTGAGTAAAGCATACAGGCCAATTGGGTTGGGAGAGGGTTAGACTGCAAACTACAGGCCTGGGCAGGGATTTGAATAGTTTTAGGTCCAATCTCACCAACCCAATTATATAATTATAAAAAAGATAAAGGTGCCTACCTATTTTCAGTCAAGTTTATCATGTTATCATCTCACATACAAAATAAGCAGCTTATTAATAATATTATCAATTATGTAATTTATTGACATAAATTGGGGTTGACCTAACCTGACCTAATATTATTGACATAATATTACTGCCGACCCAGGCCTGTAGTTTTTCCCCCAAGGAAGAACTGGTGGAGTTTCTTCAAGGATCAAAACTAACCTTCTCATGGGCTTGAATGGTTTGATGCTAGAATTAAGCTACCAAGTGGTGATTACTTGGTTGTGCTCTATTTCAGATCCCCAGGCCCTTTAGATTGTTGATAAGCAAAGGTTTGCCAATGTTGAGATAGCCAATATTTCTAAGTTTTCTATCATATTTATGGAATTGAATTGGATTCTCTTGGGGACCACTGGTTATGCTTTCATTCTGTAGTTGTAGACTCACGAAGGCTTGAATACTGCAAGCTTCAAGGTAAAATTTCATTATGCCAAAATCTTTTTATTAAGAAAAGATTTACATATGAGCAGGGATGCCACTTAGTCATGTTAGGTTGGATTTTGGACCAACCCAGTCCCAATGCTAAGACTTGGGCCTTGGTTCTGGGCCTAGCCCAACCTAAGGTCAAAGCCTAATCCAATCTCAATCCATAGTTTAAAAATACAAGCCTAATTGGGTCTGCTTATATATATTTTAGACTTATTTTCTTATTGAATTTTTATTTTATTATAAAAAGAAAATTACTGCTATGGCATAATATGAAAATCTATGAAAATTCCGACTTTTAGGTATCTAGGAAAATTTTTGAGCTAAAGACTATTTTTTTTTTTATCAATAACAAGCTAAAGACTACTATTGGTGTTGGGCTGATGCATCATCAAGACAATTTGTTAAAGATTATCAACTATGAATATAAACGGTGGAGCTTTTTGGTCAGTCCAAACTTATTCTATTAAATGGAGTTTCTTGTTTCTTAAGGGTTGTAATGTGGGAATTTCTTCCATGGAATTTTCTTCTTCCCATCTCTATCCATTTTTTCCATTAAGCTAAAAAAATAGAAAGATATTAGTGGTATTTATTAGTTGAATTCATGTTTAATACTTGAACTTTTTATCTTCGAAACCTTGAAGGTGAGGAAGGAAAAATCCATATATATATCATACACTGAAAATGCATAGCTTTGATTTAACAAAGAAACTTCTTGTTGTAGAGGATTGGAGCCTTTTATTTCTCTTTTTGCTACAAATCAGGTATTCTTCCTTTAAATGTTCAATACTTCTCTAGTTCAACATATATCATACCCTTAATAAATCATCTATGTCAAAATATTTTACTAAACCCTTAATATATCATTCTTTGTTTTGTGCAGATTCAAGATGCCTTACAATGAGTAGCATTTGACAGCAACTCAAAAGTTGGATCCATATTCCAGGCCTTGAATATGAAGGAATATACACTAACATATTTCCAAACAAATAAATTTATTTATGCTTTTCAAGAGATTCTTGATGCATATGGGTAAGTTTAAGTCTTTTCTCTACCATTAATAATGAGTAGAAGAAATATCACTTTGTCATATTGGACCATATCTAATTGATTTCTTGTTTCCTGAAAATATGATGTAAATTCCATCTTTTTAGGAGGTGATATGGGCTTCTTACATTTAGAGAATTATTAGATTATTCTACACTAACTCCAATCAGGTTCTCAAAAAAGCATTTAACCTAGAACACCTCATCCTTGCTCCACCTCCATATCCTCTTCCCATTCCCAAGTGTGCTAATTGGAACTAGCCCAACATAGTTTTTGCATTAAATCCATAAGTTGAGACCACCACCTAATCATTTAGAGCTCTCCTGAATAGGGGATTTCACACTTTGATACTGTCATGTAATACCTATTAAAAGAGTCAAATTTAGAATAGTTGTTGGGCAGGGTTAGGACCTTAGAAGCCTTTTATAGGCCTCTTTGATGCATTTGATTTTAGTTAGGTTTAGGGAAGGAGCTATTAGTAGCATAACGAAAAAAAACACACTATTACAAAAAACAAAATGGGAGTGACTATTGTATAGATCCATAGGACATACTTGGAAACAAAGACAAATGGAATATGAAGAATTTAGTCCCTTCTTATTTGATTTTATGACATTGAATAATTATCACGTTCTTGGTAGAATTCTATCACAAATTATATGTTCTTGGCTAATTTAATGACATCATGAAGAAATTACATGTCTGCTCCTATAGTTGAAGAATTTTCTTGTATTTTCACTGGGATTGAAAGCTTGGGGGTTTTATATTTGGTGTACATATTGCATTGGCATTTGTAGCAAAGTTTGTTCCACTGAGAAAACTAAGAAAGTTGCCGTGTAGATTTCATTCTTCATTAGCAATTATGTTTATCTGTGTAAAAGAAAAAGAAATACATTTATGTATCTATATGCCTATGCAAATGCATGCATGCCCGTGCCTATGGAATATTGTTTATCTGAAATGGAAGAATTGACATGTATTATTTATGTCATAAAGTTGTGTTCTATATGGACCTTACAGGATTCATCTTTATTCAAGCCATTCATTTATAGTCATGTGAAGGTCCTGATGTGATTCTCATTCACTTGGATAAGAAGATTGATTAGTTTGCTGGGTTTGATGTATATGTAAGGGATTGATTTTTCGTAGACTGTCTAGGAAGTTGGGGTTATTAATTGCTTATTGGTTAGAGCTAATTTTTAATTGATTTTTTCTTTTGTATAATTGTTTCGTTCATCATTCTCAAAAGAAAAGTTATCTGATTAACTTTTTAGAAGAAAATTAAGCTATATTGATGATAATATTTTTATAGTACATATTTCCCAAGAATTGGTTTATTTTTATAGTACATATTTCCCAACTGCTTAAATGGGTACAAGTTCAAATTAATGGAGTAGAGGCAATTGTTAACAGGTTTGGGCCATAGCCACAGATCAAGTCCTGAAACACTGCTTGAATATTTGATATGATCTCAAGCACTTATAGTAGGGCCAAGCCAGGACAACCAAATCCAGTCCTTTAACTTCTTGCAATGGTTATACCAACCTAAAGACCAAATTCCTCACACACACACACACATACACACACATATATATATGCTACATAGAACTTGGAAATAGAAGACTCATTAGAAAGCCTTTGGTCTCGGCTCTACATTAATGGAGAGCTAGTTGATGAAGTAGTCTAGTAGATAAGAAAATAGGAAGGTATTAATGTCTAACCTTGCTCACAATTTTCCCTTGGGGTCCAGTTTTTTTGGTGACTAGTATCTGCCCAAGCATCTTCCCAGCAAGCAATGGGAACATGGGTCTAAAAACAACTTGTATGCTATATGCTGAATGCTAATGAATTCAATTATACGGGAGGAAACCTTGTTAAGAATCTTTCCAGATAGGCAATTAGACATATCATGAACATATCAGTCCTAACTTATACTTGTGAAGGGAAAAAATCACTCTTAAGACAGCAGAGTTTGGGATTCTAAAGATCTACTTCTCCCCTACATCATGTTTTAATAAATGATAAAAATGTCATAAGTTGGTCCAATTATTGGGACTACCATGTTACCTGGGTTTTTACAATGCATATCCCCTTTGAACCTATATCTCTTGTTTAACACAATACAGGGGAGGTAAAAAGGAATTCTGAAGATGTACTATTCCCCTGCATTGATAAGAAAAGAAGATTGTGGGGTTGACTGGGCATTAGATCTGAATTCTTATGACTCTACCAATTCAGGTTCATCATGTACATCTACTTGTTGGGCTAGGCAATCCCAGTTTGGAATTACTGATTTGGTTACTTCGATGAGCTAGCTATTACTATATATATATATATATAACAGTGCATGATTAATGTAGCATATATGGGGATTTGGATCAAAAGAGAAAATAGCTGAATCGAGTGGGTTAACTATACTTTACCTGGAATAGCCATTTTCAAGAAAAGACAAGTTTCATTAACATTTTGTCATTCCTTTTGAACACCAAGTTTTTCTTATGTCCAAATAAGTAAATGTTTATTTTGGGTTTGCATTGTTTCAGTTTACTCCTAAGTATGAAATGGATCTCCATTCCCACTTTTGCAAGTAAACTCAACATTGTTTTTTTTCTTTTATCTACTCATTATTTTTCTTTGTCAATGAAAGTCCAATCCTCTTTCTGTTGAGAATGTCAATTAATTTCTTATGAAAGAAAAATTCATTAGAACAAGTGCATATCACAATGTGGTTCTATTAATGAACTAAATTTGGATCCAGGTATGTCCTATTTGGTCCTTTAGAACATGTCTACTTATCTATACTGGTTTTGTAACATCATCCATGCTTTCTCTAGAGCTCAACAGTATTTTGATTGTTGAAAACTGTAGTGACCATACTAAGTGAAGCCCTATTAGTGATTGAAAACTACAGACCAAGCCCTGAATGGCCAGTCAATGGAGCCATTGAGCTCCAAACCACAAGACCCAACACTATTTCAAGGAACTGTGTGAGTTAATCTGGATCCTCTGCTGCATGGAACTTGAAAATTTCAATCTTGGAATATTTTCTAATTGCATAAGCATAAACAGATATTTTAGATTATTATATGGTTTTGACAATTCATTACTTATTAATTTTTGAAGATTCTTTTGTTTTTGGTATTGCAGATCTTGCATTCATTTTAGAACCTTCCCTTTCTTTGTCTAAAAATTTGAATTTGGCTCTTGTTAAGTCTTCTGGTCTACACAATATGAATTCCAGGCAAGGCAAAAGAAGTCCTGCAAAGAAGGATTTGAAGGTGGGTTATGCTGGTGCAGATTTCCCTTGTACAAACCTTAGTTGTTGCAGATCTGGGAGTAGTGTTATAAATCTATTACATTATTTAATGCATATAAATCTATTACATTATTTAATTTATATATCTAATTATATTTGACATCAATTCTTATGTATTCATTTTTGTTGAACTTGACAGATCGAAGCTTATGATCCAAAGCAAAAATCTTGAGTGTGATGCACGTGCATATTTGCAACTATTCAGATGCAATGAGGATAATTTTGTTAATTTTCTTTTCTTTTATTAGTGATGAAAAAGAATATATAAAATGTATATATTGAACAAAGACCATTATGGATATAGTGTAAATGTGTACATGTTTTATTTGTAAAAACTTCTTTTATTATACAGGTACATGGTGAAAAAATATATATTTTTTTGTAATGGCGTCTATTTAGGATCAAATGAGAAATAAACTTTTAGAAACGGTTTCATGAAACCGTTGCTAAACGTTCCATTAGTAGTTGTTTTACCAACAGTTTTTCTATCATATAGCAACCATTAATATACAAAAAAAAAAAACCTGTGGTAATACAAAAGAAATTTAATACTTTTAGCATAAAAAAAAGCTGTGGTAATACAAAAGAAGTTTAATACTTTTAGCGACGATTTTACCTAAAACCGTTGCTATTGCTAGTTATTCATCAATATTGCACATTTTAGCCACGGTTAAAACCATTGCTACAAATTGATATAGCAATGGTACATAATAAATTTGTTGCAAGAAAAGTTTTAAATTCGCAACGGTTAAAACCATGGCTATACGTATATTTATGGCCATGGTGTACAATATCCATGGCTATAAGTTTTAGCCATGCCAATATCCGTCACGGACAAAAAACCGTTGCTATAGCCTTTAGTGATGGTTTTTAGGAGCGTTTAGCAATGGTTTTGTTCGTGGCTAAAACCATTTTTTCCTGTAGTGATAGGTACTAGAAGAGGAACCACAGATGATGAAGGATGACTCTCACTACTTGTAAAGAATGGAACAGACACAATGAATGTGACATCAAGACATACAAAGGAAAGATACACTTGGTAGAGTGTGCATCTAATTTGTCTATCCCCAAATGTAAATTATGAACAAAACAAACACATGCAAAAAACCTTAGAATAGGAGAAAAGGGGGACAACATGGAAAACAAGACAAAGAAGGGAGATTGACCTCCACAGACAAACAATGGCATCTAGTTAATGATAAAACAAATTACAAGAACAACATCACTCCAAAAATGTTTAGGATTAGTTTGGAAAGAATGCAAATGCAAATATGTACAATGCAAATACATACAAAATAATATAAAATACAAGGTTTTTCACTTTACATATTTGCATTTGTACACCTTCCAAACTAAGCTTTAGGAACACTCATGTGATGCAAAAGGGGCCGAGCAGTCTCAAGTAGATGATGGTTCTTACATTCAAGCATCCCATTTTGTTGAAGTGTATAGGTGCAAGAGTTTTGATGGATGATCCCATGTTGTTCTAAGTATTCTTGAAATGGAGTATAGAAGTATTCCTTCCCATTCTCAGAATAAAGAATTTTAATGTAAACACCAAATTGAATGCAAACTTTAGCATAAAATTTTAGAAAAATGGAGAACAATTCACTCTTTTCTTTCATAAGATAGAGTCATGTCATCATCGAATAATCTTCAACAAAAATTACAAAGTACTTATAATCATTGTACAACACAACTTTGATTGGACCCAAATATCAAAATGAACTAAAGAAAAATGACTTGAAGTACAACAATCAACTTTAAGACAAGAAGAAAGATGACTCAAAGATAGAACTAGTATCTCAAGTGTCTTGAGAGAAAAATGAGAAAATTTGCAATGCCATTGAAGATGTATAAGAGAAGACTGAAGAGTTACTATCGAACCACCACCATTAAGATAATACAACCCACCAACTTCATGTTGTCTACCAATCTTCATCCCCGTCTTGAAATCCTTAAAAAACATAAGAATCGGGAAAAAAAAATTATAGAGCAATTTAGAGATTTGGTCAATTTTCTAATAGACATAAGAATAAAAGATAATTTGGGTACATACAATACTAATGAAAAGATAAAGATGCAATGTCAATATTGTCAGTACCACAAATGGGTGAGGTGGAACCATTAGCTAAGGTGATTGTTTATGATATAGAAGATGAGGAAAGGGAACAAAACAAATATGGAGTCTCAATCATATGATTAGAGGCTCTAGAATTAATAATCCAATGTAAGGGTTTTGGAAGCCAAACAATCCATACTTGAGTGAGTAAGAGTGATTGTATTCTATTGGAAAGTAGTTCGAAGGAATCTTTCATATTCATCACTTAAGATACTCAATCTTCCCGAATGCACCAATAGATGTAGAAGGTGCTTGACCATTCTATTGAGTGTTAACTACATCACCACCACCCCCTCTTGCTACATGATTGGCCCAAGTAAAGGGATGGCCATGTAAATCATAACAAAAGTTAACAGTGTCCTTCTATCCCACAATGTGTACACTTCTTAGGCCCATAACCACGATCTCTACCATGACCTCCCCTTAAGTCTCAACCTCCACTATGTCCACAACCATGGTGCAATATGGGTCTACTATGACCTCCTTGAATTATACAACCTCCTCCTCTATTTCCACGGCCTCCCTCTCTCATCGCTACAAAGGCTAATCTAACTAAAACTACGGGACTCTTTGAAGACCCAACATTAATCCTACAAAGCCATACAAACATTTCCTCAAGAGAAGATAGAGCAGAGCCTCCAAGAATTTGAGCTATAACTAGTACATACTCGGCCTTCAAACCAACCAAAAATTTAGTTACATCTAGTTGATGTCTGTTTTCTTTTTTGCAGATTAAAGTATTCTTGATAGAATTGATATATCCTTGTAGTATTATCTTGTTTGGAATTGAGCTTTTTGGCATGATCCCATATCTCCTTAACAGTATCAAGAAACATAAAATTTAGACTGGTTTTAGGTTCCATACTATTCCATACCTATGTTATAATTTGTGCATCTTCTTGTTCTCAATCACTATACCCTTGAGAATCAATGGTTCGCATGTTTCACTTTCTTTTTGACTTTAAGATAAACCTCTACTGATTTGGTTCATAACACATAATTTTACCATTCATCTTTATGGAAGTCATTTATACAATTAGGGGGAATCATAACATTGGATTTTTTTTATCACCATTCTCTCCAAGGGTTTCCATGTGTAAAAAAAAGAAAACTTCACTTTACAACCCACACTATATCGCAACTAAACAACTGCGACCAAAACATGTGCAATAATTAATTTCCAGCACTATTTTCACACATATCATCCACTTTTATCAACAAGAAACACAAACAAAATCTTTGAAACATGTGCCATAACAGGTTTCAACATTGCTCTCACACCTATTACTCACTTCCACTAATAAGAGAAATCCAGAAAAAAAAAAAAAATCATTTCTCATACATACCCTTAATAGACCAATTACAACTAGTCCAAAAAAACCCAACTATGACCTTTTAGATAATCAGAACACCCCACATAGGCTGTTGCACACCTACTGATCACTAATAGTCCCTCCTCGATACATCAACTAGAATGTTTCTCTAAAACTCCACTAAAACCACACCTTCTACAGTAATTGAGGACACGGATACCTCCCTAGACAAAAAACGACAATTCTTTTTTAGTCTCTCTTTGATCCTCCAATAAATCTAAAACTCGATCTGCTAAGGGCACTGAGAAGACCAAAAAGAACTAGGAAAAAAACGAGGGCTCTAATACCATATAAGATATTTCGATTAGACCCGATTTTCTTCCTGAAATAAAGAGAAAATAGAGACGAGAAATATAGACAAAGAATGAGAGGAAGATAATAGAAAGAGAGAGAAGAAGATGAAGAAATGGTTTGGCTGCTCTCTTTGATAAAAAGAAAAAATCACTGAACCTAGTCGATCAGAATAATATATATTCCACACACAAAGTACAATGACCTTTGTGCCCCTCTTTAAGTATGAGACACTCTATGCAATCTCAAACGTAATAAACAAAAGTCACTAGAATAAACTATTCTGAAATGATTCAAATACAAGGTGTATATAAATATATATCCCTAATGTAAAATATTATAAATAAAAATTTCATATCATAGGCCTAACCAAGGACACTAGATTTAATGTGAAATGATGGGAGACAGCAATAGCAATTAGAGCTATTAGAGAGAGAGAGAGATTATGTTGATGTAAAAAACCTGTCCCACTCTTTAAGAATAGAGTTAGTATATATGTCCTTCAAATGGTAAGTTGGGGCTGTTTGTAAAAAATAGCCTTATCTGTTTTTAGAGACTGGTGTGAATGATATCTCATAATGAGTACGGGTAAAATAGTATTTTCGCTTAATATTTTTTTTAAATGAAATGAAATGACAAATGGGGACCTGAATTAGTTAAGGTGCCACGCGCAGAGGCTCTCAAAACAGTCAAAAGTGAACTCGTAAGTTGGTATCAGTCAGCCTGATTTGGACATGACTACATAGTAAGATCATGGATATTCTCATCTTTCATTATTAAGTCACATTGTTCCTAGTGAGTTCTGAAGAATTCAAGAACTTAAGTTGGTGATTTAGAAATGCAAGAACTGAATGTTTCTATAAAATAGCCTTTCTGGGAAAGAAACTGTCTTCTTTTAATCTCTTGATATTGGGGACTCTTATTTTTTTTTTTTTCATTTTCATTATTTTATTGGACATATATATACATGCTACATTCATCTGCTTAGAAACTCAGATTTTTCTGATTTTCCTTCGCTTGACTAAAGGGAAGAGAGGAGATTATAGAGGGAAGAAAGGGTGGGAAAGAGCTATAGAGAGAAATAAGGCTGGGCACGACAAGTGTTTTATTTATTTATTTTTGTTTTGAATATTTTGTCAATAAATTAAAACCAATTTTTTACGCCTTAATTTAGAGCAGATCTGGAGTGCATTAAGAGTTCAAATGCTTAGGTTAAATTTGGGAGTACTTAAAAATAAATATTTACTCGAATAAGTACTTATTTTGGGCTGGGACCACACCAAGCATTTATTTGCATTTGGGAAATAAATCCAAAATAAGCAATTATTTGGGAAGTCCTAAATTTGAGCTTATTTTTAATGTTATTTCATAAGTGATTATTTCTGTTCTAGTCTCCACATAATTTTGAAGGTACCTATACTACCCCTGTTTAAAATAAGTGTTTTTTCAGTAAACACTGTAAACATTTCTTAGAATAAGCAATTATTGAATATTCTTCAAATATACACTCCCCAGTTATTCTTTCAATATTCTTCAAATAAGCAATTA